AACAAACTAGTTGAAGAATATTTTAATTAGATATCTTGACATATCCAAAAGATGTTTAAATAGGTTCAAACTTAGCAAGATCAGAATCACAGTTTAATTACTTAAATCTATAACTGAATTCGACCCTCAAATCAAGAAATTTAAAGTATACTCTACTAGTTTGGATCTGATGAGAAGTTCAAATAAATAATTTACTTTCTTATGTATTCTTGTTATCAGCTTATCAAGAAACTATGCACGCACAAACATAAAAAAAAAAAACCCTAATACATAACAAATATAAATGTTTTAATAGTTTCCAGCGGTAAATCATATCGAGTTTTCTGCATTTATGTCTGGTTTTAGAAATCACATTTAGATTTTACAAATCAACAAATCAACTTGAACTTAATAACATTATATTTAAATATTATAATCAATTCATTCATCGTTTCAAATATTAAAATCAAATCTTTGTCATACCCTCAATTGGTTTTACAAACTAATTTTGATTAACATGAGTTACAGAATGGATTTCAAATTAATTTCTCTAACATATGTTTAATTATATAATATACAATATCAAGTATTTATTAATAATTTGTTCTTTTAATTAAAGTTTTTGACTCCATTACTGTTTTTAATAGTTTTAAAATTTATAAAATTTAAATTAATAATTTTTTTAAAATAAATTTAAAATATAATTAATTAAATTACAAGAATTTTTAATTATATAACTTGCTAAATAAAAGAGCTATTCCCATATATGGATGTCAAGAAGGCGTAAGAAACAATGACATTCAGATAAAAGGATTTCCAGAGAACAAAATAAACAGTCGCTAAGAGTAAATGAGTGAAATTATATAAATGCCAGTGCCATGAAATGTGGAGAATTGAGAAGAGAGACAGAGACAAGTGTCTCAGATCTGTGACTCCGTTAATGTGGATTCGAAGAGAGACAGAGACAAGTGTCTCAGATCTGTGACTCTATTAATGTGGTTTCTGCCACCTTTTTTATTTCTCAGACTGCCCATGTGCACTTATCTCTCTCACTTTTGTCCTCATCTCGTTATAAATATAAGCATTTCCTGACCCTTTTTGTCTCCCACATCATAGATTCTTCATCTCTCGCTGTCACAACACAAAGCCTGGCTAGTTTGTGTTCGTTTCTTCTCTGAAAATGGCTGTTGGGTTTTCGCTTTTGCTTGCATTATTCTTGCTCTTCATTGACTCTGCCTCAGCTGCTACTTACATGGAAGGTAATGCTAGCTAAGTACTAATTTCTATGTTTAATGTTTTGACCCCATTTAACTGGCTTAGACAAGGAAGATTTAGCATAACAGTGTCATGGTGTGTTCATTGAGTTGAGGTTTTTTGTGTTTTTTTCTCTCTGTTGGCATATATACGTGCTTATAGTGCAAAATTTTTCTTGTTTGCTGGGCTTTTGGCATTTAATGTCTCGTTTGATTTTTTAGTCTACAAGGTTGAATCTTTATGCTTCATACTTATAAAACCTTCTTTCAGGGCTTCACTGTAAGATTTAGTGATGGATTTTCTCTTCTCCTTTTCACCTTTACTTGCTATTTACAGTTTCACATCCATTTTCAAAGTATTCCCAAAAGAGAAAGTTAGGTTACTCTTAGATTTAGAGTGGCCATCAAAGAAAGAGGGATGCAGATTTGGTTCTCTACTTTCTTTAGCACATTTCTTTGCCGACTACTAATCTCACTTTCTCATTTTGACTTGGTCTGCTCTTTGTCTCCAGGCTTTCTCAAAAATGGCAACTTTGAAGAGAAACCAAAACCTGGTGCCATCAGAAAAACAGTCCTTAAAGGAAAAAATGCACTCCCCAGCTGGGAAATCAATGGCTTCGTAGAATACATCTCTGCTGGGCCACAACCCGGTGGCATGTACTTTAATGTGGCTCATGGTGTCCATGCGGTAAGGCTAGGCAATGAGGCCTCAATTTCTCAAACAATAACGATAAAAGCAGGCTCTCTTTATGCCCTAACTTTTGGTGCTTCAAGAACTTGTGCTCAAGACGAGGTGTTGAGAGTCTCAGTTGGTCCTGTGTTTGGGGACCTGCCTTTGCAGACTCTGTATAGTAGTAATGGTGGAGACACTTATGCTTGGGGATTTAGACTCAATGCCACTGTTGTTAAAGTGACATTTCACAATACCGGGGTCCAAGAGGACCCTGCGTGTGGACCACTCATTGATGCAGTTGCTATCAAGGAGCTCTTTCCACCAATGCCCACAAGAGGTAATGATAACTAACTCTATTATTGTGATGTTCTGTCATTGGTATGGAGAATTTGTGGGGCTTGTTTTAGCTATATTTTTGTGATTCCTTTCTGATTTTGTTTTGCCAGATTATTTTCTGTATTACTTGTTTTTGTGGGATTGTATGTCGAGGCTGTTGCCTATGTAGAGACTATTTTTCATTGGCTTGGATCTTCAACTTTCAACGCCTTTACATTTGATGCTCTAGCCTCAGACATTGTTTGTAGATCTATCCAAGATTGCGCTTTAGTTAGTTGCTTGGTTTATGTGGTTGGCTTTAGCCAACAATTTTTGGTTTCTATTGCATATATGATATTGAAGATGGTAATTTGATTTTAGATACCATCACTTTGTCAATCTTGTCAAACATAGGATACACTTGTCTCGAGATGCAGTCTTGTTTATCCATCTGAAGTTCTAAACTCCTGCCTATTCTCTTTGAATGGTTGCGATAGAAGTGATATATGTACCTGTGATGGTGATAATTAAGTTGCTGCCGTGGTTAAATAATTTTGAAGTTAAATGTTTGCTAAAAAACATGTAAAATTTTCAAATTTGATTCTATTTTCTTTCACAAGAGTTTGATGATAGCTTCTCTTATCTATTGACGGTTGTAAATGATGTCTTGTAGATAACCTTGTAAAGAATCATGGCTTTGAGGAGGGTCCTCGTCGGTTAGTAAACGCCTCCAATGGCATCCTCCTTCCTTCAAGACAAGAAGATCTCACATCTCCACTCCCTGGCTGGATTATTGAATCACTTAAAGCTGTGAAGTTCATTGACAAAAGGCACTTCAATGTTCCCTTTGGACTTGCTGCTGTTGAGCTTGTTGCAGGAAGAGAGAGTGCAATTGCCCAAATCCTCAGAACAGCTCCCAACAAAGTCTACAGTCTCGCATTCACTATCGGGGACGCAAGGAATGGTTGCCATGGATCCATGATGGTTGAGGCATTCGCTGCTGGTGATACATTTAAGGTTCCATTCGAATCCAAAGGAAAGGGTGAATCCAAGACCTCAAGTTTCAAGTTCAAAGCCATTTCAGCTAGGACAAGAATTACATTTTACAGTTCATACTACCATACTAGGATTGATGACTACGGATCCCTTTGTGGTCCTGTACTTGATGAAGTTAGGGTATCCCCTATTACTTAGGTGCTAGTTCTACCTTGGTGCTTCCTTCATTAGAAAACTACATGTTCCTGGTTTTTATATAGAGGGATCCTGCAACAGTTATAATCCGTCGAGGCACATGCTCTACTTTTGTATCTGTCTAGGCCATGTGGTCTTTGTTGTTGTATGACGTCGCCTTCACGTGTTGTCAGAAGAGCCTTATGGATAAGATGATAGAATGACGTCGCCTTCACGTGTTGTCAGAAGAAAGAGCCTTATGGATAAGATGATAGTAGAAACTATGTGGGGGCGGTTTGGTAGCATCTGTTTAGGAGATTGTGTTTTGTTTAAAACGCAATGTATGCAACATGTTTGATAATAAAAAAAAAACGTAATTTACCATGGTGATTTGTATTTGAAACGCGGGGGGAGAAAAGCACGTGGATAGTTTACTGAATAGCGTAACATGTCTCTGGGGTTCACATGAACTGTAAGAACATTTACCATCGATCACGTAAATAGTCATGCTATATTTCACTCTTATAGCATAATCAATTCCGGTCCAAAGTTTGAATCGAGTTTGATTTATTAAAATATAAAAATTATTTTTTATTTAAAAAATTAATATTTAATATTATTTAATAACATTATATAAATTAGATAATATAGCATTTGTAAAATTTGATTGTAATTATAATTTTATTTTTAATTATATTTATTTGATGTTATTATGTATTTAAAAAAACCTAGAAAATAATTTTTATTAAATTTATTTCATATGTGATAGAATTGTAAATAATTTAATTAAATAATAAAAAATATTTTATATAAAATATTATTTATTTCATAATATAATAACAATAGTTAAATCTACCGTACTTAAATTAAAACCATTAATATTAATATATATTTTTAAATTATTTTGTAACTTTAACTTTTAAAGTATTTTTAATTAAATATATTAAATTACTTTTTATGCAACTTTAATTCCAACCAATATTTTAACTAAATATACATAAATATCAAATTAACTTCAATAAAAAATAATTTTTATAAAATAATATTTTTAAATCACAGCTATAAAAACCACAGCAACACCAGACATAATTTACTATTCTAGTTGTGCAATGGCAGCAGCTTTATTTACTGAAGCGCGTATGATCGAAAATTCAAAATTTCAAACCAAAGTTGAAAAAAGACCTGGCAACCTGGGCTACAACCAGGTGACCGATCCATCTATATGGTTTGATAACATCAATTCAAAATCCCTGAATGTGTTTTTTTTTTAGAAAAAAAAGAGAGTAAAGATCTAATTGCACCCGAATGCCAAAAGCTGATAAAAAACACCTGGTGTCTAGAGTTCCAAAATAAAAATAATCATCATGGTTAATTACATCTACTTGCGTTTCGATGAATCAAATGCAATAAACTTCACGACGGACCAATGTGATTGATGGAAAATTTGGTTTCATGGCTTGTCGTCGCATGTGAAATTCAGCAGTTATCTCTGAATTCGTTTGTTACATTTAGCTTTCATCCTTAACACTGTTATCCATAAAAAATCTTCGACCAAAAAAAAAAAAAAACTCCAGGAAAATGTGTTTTATTACATCATCCCAACAGCATCGGAAGTAATTTCATGTATGAACATTATTATTTATCATATCGCTAAAGTCAAAATACATTTCTGTCACAGAAGAATATTTTGTACATAAGAATACAACTGATTTGGTGTTGTTGCCCCCTATCCAAAAAATGTGAGCGCATCGTTGCCATGATAAGCCTCAATAGGAAAATTACAGAAGGAACTCTACTTCATATGATGATCATGCCGATGTGGCCAAGGTCCACTTATGAAATCCAAGATATAACTGTCTTCACTGACTTGCATCCAAAGTGCCCACAAGACACTTCTCTAGCAAGAATTCAGCATTCACCCAGGCATGGTAATTGTCTGAAATGAAGGATTGCAATCTGGGCAGAGAAGCTCAACAGTCACAAGGGAAAAAAAGCCTGTTCATGCGTTGAAAATCTGTTCCCTTTCTCCCCATCGGAAGGAAAATCTTGAAGGACAGCTTCTTAATTAAGCAAGAAAGGCAAGCGGGTTAAGATGAACTGATAAGACTTCCCCATGGATCGAGCTTGACCATGGTTAGTAAGTTCGTTGGTGAGCAGAATATAACTCGTTTTAGGGGCATTGACTATAAATATAGCTTCAAAGAAAAAATAAAACCACATAAATCTTAACAATTTCAAATTGGATTGAAATGAATTCATCTTTCAAGCTTGCTCATTTTTGCACAGCATGAAAAAAATTGATGTTTCACAAGGGATGATTATCCGGTCCAATCTGATCTTCAGCTACACCCTCTAAAATTCTCCAAGAAAAAGAAAATCCAGAAAAGGATACTGAATAAAGATGCGCAGTCTTTTCCTACTGCCTTCAGCAGTATATCAACGCCTGAAAACAGGATATTGTCAAGTATTCATAGCAAGTACTAGCAATCTGAAACAGACAGCAGGACAGACAACATACGGTAGTGGCTCTTGGAATAAACAACGCGTTCATTAGTAGGCTGTATCATAAAGAGAATCTCACGGGGTGCGCATGCTTCTCAATCGATGTTTGCACAATGAGCGATGACAACATGATGAATCCTAACCAATCGTTCGAGGAAAACTCAATACGTCAAGGCTTTAAAGATGGAAAATAAAGATGATGCAAGACAACATAGTAAAATGGCAACTATATGCCAAATACTAATAAGAATGCTATAAACATTAAGGATACAGAAAAAACAGAAGTAAGGAAACATGACAGCAAATTTGCAATTCTATACCTGCAAGATCATGGTGTTTTTGAGTAAGTTTAAGACAATCCATTTGGCTATAACCCTTCTCAAACGGAACCTTAGCCTGTGCTCGAGCCACTGGCTTGCTAGCAGAAACTCTTTTTTCTTCGGATTTCTTAGTCGAAGTTCCAGCATTTCCAGATGGGATTTGTCTAGACTGTCCTCGATCTGGCACATCAAATAACATTGAACGACTAAGAACCAACAGTTTTCTCATTCTTGGAATCAGCATCATTAGGAAAATTATCTCTCCACATAATACCACCGAATCCCTGATTACTATTAGTGCCATTTGAAAACCCATCTTTGATACCCATGCCTCCAATATCCAATGCAAGATTCTTCGCCTCTAGTCCATTTTTTATCAACAGGTAATCCCATCTAAATTCTTCAACAAATATTTTAATCTCAGAAACACTCCAGTAATTAAAATTATTTCAAGAAAATGCAATTAATTATTCAAATAAGTAATTAAATTAACGCAGTGTAAATACCTGGCAAAAAGTGAAAACATTGTAATTGTCCATTACACGCTAAATTTAATTAAAACGAAATTAGCTCCAGCAAGATTTCCTGGCAACTCATACAATAATTATCAGCAACAATTATTTGATCGCTTATAGATATAAATAAGTAATAATGAACTGATTTAACTGAATTGGAGGCCTTTTTTAATTGTTTAGATATATCTGAACAGCAGCAAATCCAGGGGGGAAAAGAACAATGTCGAATACTTTATCAGGAACAAGATAGAATACTTGCAATAGAAAAGGATCCTGGTCAGGTTCTTGAAGTTGCTGGTGTAAAACTCTGCGTTTTTAATGTAGAGATGGGCTGTTGAGAAGATCAACTGGCTCCTTTTTTCTGTGTTTTCTGCAGGAAAAAGGGTTTATTCGTTTTTTTTTTATTATTATAGTTTTGGTTTTGCGGTTCTGTTTTTCACTCGTATATTGTAAATTTTATTATCTTTATATTTAATAGTTTATAGATTAAATATTTATTTAAAAATGTTTCGACTGCAAGATTCAGTGGACCTTTTATTAGATTTACTTATCATTATCATAATAATAAATTATCTCTTTGTTTAAAGGGAGAAAAAAGTAACTATAATTTAATAACAGTGTATTATAATGAAATATAAATTTAATATTATGGGTGTCGTATCACCTATAGTTAATGTCGTCAATTCATCTCTAAATACAGAAATTAAAAATTAATAATATAAATCTAAACTTTTAACGCATGTAATATTTATAAAAAATTTAATCCAACTCAATATATTTAACTCGCTTTGATGAATTTTTTTTTTGAATAATCAAGTTTATAATTTATAAAATATAAAAAATAAAATAGAATTACATGACCCCACAATATCTATTAACAGCCGCAATAAATTAAATGGTCAGAGGATTGACTAAATTTTAGTTTGTGCTGCATTTAAATTAAAACGTAGCTCGAGAGTGGGCTGAGTTATAAAACATGTTCTAAATAATATATTTGTTTTTAACTTAAAAAGATATATTTTTAATTCATGAACAAGAACTTTATGGATATTTACAAAACACAATTAATAATAAATCTTCGTCGGTTAAGAAGATATATAATAACTCTCCATGCAGGTTGCTGCATATTATGAGTTCATGACGACCTGGATTCGGACCGGTTGACATTGGAGCTGCAGGACCAAAACTTCAACGACATGTGATCCACTTATAAAGGAACGTGCCTATGTGTTATTTTAGGAATGTGATTGTAATTTTTTAAAAGTAATTTTTATTTAAAAATATATTAAAATAATATTTTTTAAAAAATTTTTAAAAATTATTTTTAATATCAATATATTAAAATTATTTGAAAATACTAAAAAAATATTATATTAAAATAAAAAAATTTATTTTTAATTTATTTTTAAAAAAATATAAAAATAATTTCACAAGAGAGTTGTTACATCAAATCTCAAATAGTATTATTCATATTGGATCTACAAAGATTAATATAAATTTATGATATATTTTTAAATTTTTAAATAGATTTTGATTTTTTTAAGTATTTTTTATTTAAAAAATTTTAATTTACTATTTTTTATCTTTAAAAAATTATTTTTAATATAAAAATTTTAATTAAAAATTTTAAAAAAAATATTCTTGTCAATAGTTTTTAAATGGTGTTTGAAGATGTAACAATGGTTTCTTTTCAAAATGATTTTAACTTAAAAATGTATTAAAATATTTTTTATTATTTTTGAAAAAATATCTTTAATATTAATATATATATAAATAAAAATAAATTAATTTTAAACAAAAATTATTTTTAAAATTTACCGAATTCCCGTTTAAAATGCGACATCAACAGGGGCTTTCCTCTGGTGTGGGGACCAGATTCCAGTCGCTCACTGAACTGGCATCACGACAGGGGGGTGCTTCCTCTGACACAGATCCTATGGACGTGCAACGGCACACATGGCGATCACGTGAGCACTGACGTGGAATCTTCTCGGCGTCAACGAAAAAGACAAATTTATCGCGCTGTCTTGGAATCTCTTTCAGCTTTTGCTTCCTCAGAGGCTTGCGTTTTCTCAATCCTCACGGCTCCTATTCCATCCAATAGCCGTTTTGTTTTTGGGTTTTCTCACTCCGCACGGCTCTGACATGTTCCATCCAATAGCCGTTTTGTTTCGTTATATATATATATATATTCCCGTAGACAAAACAATATTGTTTTATTAGAGGATTTCTTTTTCTTTTTCTTGTTTTTAGCCATTGTATAATTTCATTCTGTATTATTTGTGTGGTTACATCAATAACCAGCGAAAATTTTTTAGATATATATTTAAGGATGTAAAATATATATATATATATATATATATATATATATATATATCTATCTCGACATTTTAAATTTAATATGTTCAATGATAAAACCTCGAATACGCACTAGTTAAAAATAAAAAAATAATGCTAAGTATGCTTATAATTCTTTTTTTTTTATTTACGTGGGGTGTCCGAGCCAGCTTGTACGCACCACGACTAATCCCCACGACCCATTGAATACCTTGCAAATCCAGTAGGCAGGTAAGACACCACAGGGATAACAGACGTACATGTCAGGGGTCGAACCCATGTGCAGTGGAAGAAGACAAGCCCCTTCCACCGCTAGGTCAAACCCCTCGATACTTATTATAAATATACTTATAATTCTTTGCTGCATGGTGTGTGGCAAATATTAATTAAGTTTAATGATGGTGTGTGGTTACATCAATAACCAGCGAAAAGTTTTTAGATATATATTTAAGGATGTAAAAAATATATATATATATATCTATCTCTACATTTTAAATTTGATATGTTCAATGATAAAACCTCGAATACGTACTGGTTAAAAATAAAAAAATAATGCTAAGTATGCTTATAATTCTTTTTTTTTTTTATTTGTGGGGTGTCCGAGCCAGCTTGTACGCACCACGACTAATCCCCACGACCCATTGAATACCGCAAACCCAGTAGGCAGGTAAGACACCGCAGGGATAACAGACGTACATGTCAGGGCTCGAACCCATGTGCAGTAAAAGAAAACAAGCCCCTTCCACCGCTAGGCCAAGCCCCTCTGTGCTTATTATAAATATACTTATAATTCGTTGTTGCATGGTGTTAGGCAAATATTAATTAAGTTTAATGATAGTAAAATCACATATCTTAAATCTCTATTATGATTTTATTAAACACGTGGATTATTTATAAAAATTCACATTTTGAAAATATTAGTGTCTTCAAGACTGCAATACCACTTTTTAAAATAGTTTTTTTATTTGAAAATATATTAATTTTTAAAATTTTTTATATTAATATATTTAAATCATAAAAAATATTTTTTTAATATTTTTTTAAAAAAACACTTTGAACCATTCCAAACATTCATTTTCAATTGGTAGCCAGTTTAATTTGGTCAAAACGGTTTGCATTTCCAAGAATAATTTGTCATGTATATCCTTTCTCAAATTTAAAAGGTATTTCAGACTGTATTTGTGATTATTTTTCAATTATTTTTTGAAAATTTATTAAAATCATTTTTTTATTTTTTTAATATTAATATATTAAAATAATAAAAAAATATAAAAAAATAGAATTTTTATGAAACAATGTAATTTCAAAAGTCACCTTCTCAACATTTTTTCCTTTTTCTCTTTTTAATATAAAAAAGGCCCTGATGGCAAAACCAACTTTCCACTTACATCTCCTGGCGGCCACAATCAACGTCCGATCTAACCCTTTAGCTTTAGACTCACACTCTCCCTCTCTCGCTCACACACATTTTGCATTTCCATCCAAAAACTAGGATCCAATCCATTTCACTGGTTTATTATTTTGGCTTTGTTTTGGATCTCTGTATTGTTGTGTTCAAGAGAAATGTCGAAAGCTGGTGCATTGGATCTTGCTACTGGTCTTGGTGGAAAGATCGATAAAAGTGATGTTCTCTCTGCTGTCGAGAAGTATTCTTCTTCCTTCTCTATTCATGCTTGATTTGATCTTTCTCTTTCTTATTTATATTGTTTTGTTTTAAATTCTGCCTATCTAGCTTGGTCATTAAACCTTTCTCCTAGCCTGTACTGACCAAGATTTGATGACACCATTAACCACAGAGCTTCAGCCTGGTTTGATAAAAACAATGGTTGTGCATGTTCCCACTTCTTGAATCTGACATGTAAATCATTTATTTGTCTGAGCTCAGAAATCATAACAAGTAGAAGGTGGTTGTACCAATTTTATTCTATTCTTTTCTTTTTTTTTCGGAAACGAAAATGATTAGATTAGATATGCCTGCTTTAATCTGAGTTCAGGGAAATTACAAAGAAAACAGATAAAAGAGTAACATGGGTTGGCTAGCATGTGAACTTGGAACTGAATGTTGGCTTCCATATGATTTGTCTTTTTCCATGGCTATACCACTACGGGTGTGTTTAGCAGTGGTTGCAGTTTGAAAAAACGTAGCTTTAATAGAAAATCTTATATTGACAATCCAGGTATGAGAAGTATCATGTCTGTTATGGAGGTGATGAGGAAGAGAGAAAGGCCAGCTACTCTGACATGGTAAGAGAAGGTCAGGTCAACTATCCTCTTAAGATTGACCTTCATGTATTTCCTGCAGATATGCTGCTCCTTTCAGTTTCCTTCTCTTTATATTTAGCTTTGGAAAACTTTTAGCTTCTCCTTGCGTATTTATAGTCTCAGAGGGATGTACAATTAAACTTTTTTATTTTCCTTTTCAATACATTTTCATTGGTCTCTAAATTAAGTGCCAATTGACTTTGCATAATGCTTGAAACTTTTTATTGATATATTCTTCGTGTCATAAAAACATTAATATGATACTGTATGCAGTGTCCATTTCATGGTTCATAACATGTCTGAGAAGCTAAGTTTCTTGTTATCCCTTTTATGAGTTACTAAATGTAAACTGGTTTTCTTGAACCAAACAGTTAAATTTTAAATAGAACCCTGATCCATGCAAAAACCTCTTGAAACAATATTTTGGAAACTTCCATGGAAGTTTTCCCTTGAAACTTCTATCAAGACAAGGATGAATAATGTTCTTTTATCATCAAGTTTAGTAGCCATAAAGTTAAATTATTCTAAATCAAATCAGTCAGCTAGATATGCAACATGTATCTCGGTGCTATTAATCTTCTGTAATGTTTCTATTTGAGTGTGAAGAATTGAAATATTTTGTTGACATAAGAATAACCTGTTTATTTTCTTTTGGATGTGAACTTATTGCTGCTCCAAGCAGTGATATTTAACCTATACCTATTAACTAATCACATTTAAACTTCAGGTTAATAAATATTATGATCTTGTTACCAGCTTTTATGAGTTTGGCTGGGGGGAGTCTTTCCATTTTGCTCCCAGGTACCCTTTTTGTGTCTT